AGCAGAAAAACCATTCGAGGTAGAAATCAAGAGAATGCGGTTGCTGCAAGTGCGTGCGTGTCGCGCGCGGTCCCGCCATCGTCACGATTCTTCGAATGCCCTATAGTACATGCCGGATTTCATTGCGAAGCGATTTGTGCGAAGAGGCAAGTGTAGCCCACTTAATGGAAGATAACATATCATACATGTCCCCCGTGCTATAAGCTGTTCGTAGCAATGGATCGCTAGCCGTTTTTTTTTTCGTGGTCATACATTTTTCAGCGATATCGTCGCGATGTGGACGAATTTCAGCGATATTGCGTCGTCAATTTGGAATGAGCGATGGACATCATCGATGGACTACGATTTCTGTCTTGGAAGAATTCTCAATTGTTATTAAGTAGTTGGTAGCTCCTTCTTAGATCTCGAGAACTAGCCAATTTGCATATATTACACAAGTTCTGGCTTGTTCCGCTATACGAGGCACAGATTTCAAAAGCGCGGGACAGGAAAATTTCTGTGGTGTAAGGTTTGGACGCTGATATCACCGTCCGCTAGTAAAGTCATCTGGGGAGTTGTGGCAGGTACATAATAAGTGTCAAATCACGCTTTTGAAAATGCCAGAGATTAATCGAGTAGAATATAGAAACAAAACCAAAGGCTTTTCAGCGGTAGAGTGCGATATAAGGCTCGCCCTTAACATTGAGGTTCAGTCTCTGCGCGATTCGTCACTGCAAAGAGTCTTCATATATTGTCGCTAGCGCGCACTGCTTGGGCAAGACTTGAAGGCAGGGTCCCGGCAAAATTTCGCTCTTGGCTTTTCACCTCTTCGGAGCCTTCTCGCCATGCTGAAGCCATATCTGAGCTTTTTAGCGCTGGAAATGCAAAAATGAGCTTTTTTTGGAGCTCTCCGTGTCCGCATTTGTTCCAAAGCAATGTTAAAAGAAGTGGGCGGGGTCCGGAAAAATTGCGGACCAGATTTTGAGTTTCCCAAAAGCTCTTTTTTGCTCCAGACTTCTTTGATAGATTAGCTCGAGGGTTTACTATTGCAACACTGTAAATTCCCGGTACCCATCATTTATCCGACGCTGCCTTCAATGTGTTTGCAACAACTCACAAAAGTTAACAAGGGAATGGTCAGAAATCAGTGCGGCCAATCCAAGCAAGCTGCATACCATTGATGCAGCGTAAAACGCTGATCTCGGATCTGTATTCCATATCTGCTTAGCGCCTATGTGGGCAAAGTTATGAGCCCTGCATACAAAGCGCAAATTTGGCAGTAAAGAGCCATGTTCGGCTTAATGCTGGGCCAAAAAATGCAGCTAGATTACTTTATCTACTTGAAGCCTAAAGGAGAGCTGAAAGTGCAACGATGTGCTCAATGTCGCAGTTTTTGATTTTTCGCAACGAAACTGCTCACAACTTCGCCCACAAAGGCGCTAAGCAGATATGGAATACAGACTCGAAATCAGCGCGGAATGCTGCATTGTTGGTATGGTAGGCAACTTGCCTGGATAGGCCACACTTTTGATATACCCTTGAAAGCTACGCAGTTGAGAACCGTGCTTAGTGAATATATAAACACAGTGGTGCAACCAACAGTACGATATTCATCTCTTCGACACTTCTTGAGACTTCGTCTTCCTTCGGCTGCTTTCATCTTGGCTTTTACTTTCGGAAATCCTCCTAAAAATCTCAGTCAGTCAAGACGGCATTGCATTCGGATCCTGCCTCAATATTCTTCGTCTTTTGAGCAATCTATTGGTGGTGTTCGAATGCGCTCTAAGTTCTCCTCACGATTGTTAAGGCACATTCTTCGCAGGCGCAGTCATTTCAGAAGCCGGCCGTAGCCATACGTTAGGTCTTCCCGGTGAGCCAGTCACAATTTGGATATAAGTTCATCCAACCTGTGACCGTCATAAGCGACTTCCTCCTTCCTTCTTGCATACTGTGGTAGACTTTTTCCAGCTTTCTATCGAATCGTACCGTCGCTCGAAGAAGGCGGTGATCGGAGTCATCGCAGAACTACGGAGACATCGAGCAAGCGCCATCTGCGGCTGATGAGAATGTGGTCGATCTTCGTATTCCATTGGGCGGTTTCCATGTCAAAACCGGCGTTGTTTTTTCTTATGGAACAAGGAATTTCAGTGAAAAGTCTTGCGGCGAAGAGACACCCAACGAGAGGGCTGCCGACTTCTTCCGCTCATACCCGAACTTCCCGATCCTATATTTCTCCTCTAGCGGCATCCCGATTTTCGCGTTGAAGTCGCCCACTACAAATATGCAGAACTTTTTGTTGCGGACGACCTGCGCGTATTCGTAAAAAGCATCTGATTCGGATTCGTCAGCTGCTAACGTTGGGGAGTAGTAGTTGATGATGCCGATGGTTTTCTGATGTCGAGGTCGTAGTCGTAGGATGGCTAGACGAGGTGACAGGATCTCATGCGAATCGACAAGATGGACGGGTGGACGACAAGCCAGCGCCTCCGACGTTTTCCGATTGAACTTTCTCACCACGAATGATGAGAGTCCCATAACTCATCTGTTGCACGTCCTTCTTCCTGGTCTTCGTTTACTGCAAAGCGATGATGTGGTACTTGATGTTCTGCTAAAGAAGAGCGTGGAGGTTAGCTTTTGTGGAGAGGTTGGCGCTATGAATGCAGAACATAAGGCACTCTCCATGGCGTGTCGTCGCAGATGTGTCGTCTTTGTCCAATCCAGATGACGCCTTGAGCAATCTAACATCGGTCTTATTACCACCCGCCGTCGTAGGTGGGTTATCAGTTGCACTGATCTTGGAAGTCCACCTCAGAGAGCTCACAAATGGCGAAATCGAGCATAGATCGATGTTCTTAATTTCAAATTGAACGAGTGGAACAATTTTCGCCAATGTTGGTGATGCACAGTCATTGCGGGACGACTCCTATGGATACAAAATGCGGCACACCTAAGTTGGGAGGGAGAACGTGAACTCATTCGAACGCGCAGAAACTGGATGGCTCGCACGGGTTTGAAGGCAATTTTTCCTCTCGTAGTCAACAGAAATAGACGGAAACAAGAAGTAACTCAGCCTTACAATACCGTCGAAACTGTATGGAGTGATTCATGCAACAAAACCCCATCGGTGATACTTCTCCAATGGGAAGAACGGGAGTCGCCACAAGCGTTATGTTGAAGAGACTAGTGTGATCTACTACGGTGTCTTCGCAGTAGCTCCAGTCTTGTGCCGAGATAGTTAAGAAGGGGGAGGAGGGAAGAGAGCACAAACTTCCATAGAAATCATGCTTGCCGATAAGCAACAAGAAATTTACCGTTCTCTTCCCTGAATTCCTTTGCAAACTCTCCAACCATGCATTACCAGTTGTATAACGAATTTTTTTTTAGATCTAGCCGACCCTGGCCACTTTGAGTCCACGCCCTTCGCAACAAAAAAAACCATCTATCCTAAAATACAGATAAGTCCTCCCATCAGATAAGTCCGTCTACAGATAAGTCCGCCTACAGATAAGTCTGTTTTCTTTCCATTATAACTACCTTGAAATCTTGTCAGATAAGTCCGAAACAGGGCCCGACAGGAGGTGGCATTTCAGAATTTTGAAAACGATATCCCCTTTGAAGCCAAAATTTCTTACGACTTCCCCTTTGGCCCTATTCTTGACCCCCGTAAGTCCCTGACAAACAGATATATACAAATAATAAGATGGGCGGCCTCAGCGCTATTACAATAGTACTACCTGGCTTTCCTGGTCCAGCCCGGGTCATCAAGGTTTCAGCTCAATGGGTTCATCCGCAAAGGAATCTATAAAAAAACATAGGGTCAAGATTTGCACAAGCTTTGACGTTTATATATCTAAGATACTACTCATTTATTAGTCAGCTGCGAAACTTTACAATTTACAATAACCGATTGCGATTGGAGCGCGCTTTCCGAGGCCGATCATAACGCTGTGAACCCTATTTGGGGCTGTATCGAAGCGGTCCTTGATGGTTTTGGAAGCGGATTTGAACGTATAGTAATACTCTCGACCTAGTCCACATTTATGTAAAGAAATCCGGGAAATTATGTGAAGGGAAGCAGGGAGCCACCCCAGGTGGCTCCCAGGTGGCGCGGAAGCCACCTAATTTCGAAAAACACTTACCATTTTCTAAATTCACATAAGTTTCTCATAATTCTTCATACTTTTTTGTGCTCATGGTCCTCCAACCACACAGCAAATTTGGTGCCATATCGTTACTTGTGCATTGAAAACGAGCCTATTTTGTTATTTTCCTCTTACACGAATTGCGATTTGAATTCCCGCCTGCGGGCAGGCTAGCGATCGGAGCACAGAATCTTCACATTGCAATAATCTAAGTTCATAGGACAGTAGCATCAACAAGGAATGATGAATAAAGAATGATATGTGCATTGGACAAAGGGGAAGTCGTATTTTGGGGTCCGGGGCTCCGCCCTGGACCCCAACATACGACTTCCCCTTTGCTTTTTCGGGCCAAAAACGATATCCAGCTTGTGAAAGCACCACCCCCGCCGGGCCCTGGTCCGAAAACTGTCAGATAAGTCCCGACTTATCGCTTATCTGTAGACAGACTTATGATGGGAGGACTTACCTGCAAAATTCTTGGCAGCGCGAGGACGCATTTTCATCGATTTTTCATGTCAAAAAAAAGCGGACTTATCTGTAAGACTTTAGGGTATTAGCCGTCAACTGCCATTCTCCTTATTGCAGTTGATGGCCAAAATTAGATATTTTCTTCGGAACTGACTTGAGGTTTTGAAGGTCATGATTATCATCACTCAACCGCTGCACGTTGATTTTGTAGGTAACTTGTTTTACTCGTAGATAGTTTTCGAATTGAAAAAAAATCAACCTGGCTGCCGCCACTCTTCTTTCCCAAAAATTCGTGATAAAATGTCGGCTAAAAAACTAGGACCATTGAATGCGGTAAAGGCCTGTCCGCTCCTCTATTTTTCGGTCAGATAAAAGGCTAGTTGGGCTGACAGATGAACAATCTACAAATCAAACACAAACAGAAATTTATGTAGAACACCGATTAATGTGACAAACAGAAATAACAACATGTTTTATCTGTATTCACGAGTTCTTCGCAATGAACGATCGTCATGTTTTCTTTCGCGACTCCTGCTCCGGCTCCGCTTAGATCGTTTCCGCTTATCCTTTTCCTCATCAAACTGTTGATCCTCTTGTTTTCTTCGTTCACGCCTACGTTCACGTTCTCTTTCACGGCGTTCCATCTCTTCCACATACAGGATCTCATCGCGTATCTAAAACATCAAGTATTAGATGATTTAAATGAGTTGCTTCTCATCAAATCTGACAATTAAAAGATGGTTTCAGAATCTGTTAGAGCTCGGGATCGCAACTTTACTGACATAAAGGAAAAAGAGCGTCTCATGTACTTACACGTCTTTCCTTCTCCATTTCCTTTCTCTTCTCTTCCTGTTCCTCTTTCAACTCCTCGACAGTTTGTCGCAAAGCCTTCTTCATTTTGAGCTTGATTTTTCTAGCAATCTCTTTCTGAATGAAAGCCACTATAGGATCTTTGCGTAGACTTGAAGCTTAATGTACCTTTTCTTCTTCATCAGAGTCTGGATGTGTCTCTTTTGCACCAGCAGCTCGATTTTCCCTGGAGAAGATTGTCACAATTCACGTTTGAAAATCAATTTGTAACTCACCTCACCATCCTCTTAGTTCTATTAATTCGTCGTTTACGATTTTCGATCTCAATACGCTCCTTTTCAGACTCAGACATGCTTGATCTACAATGAACCGTTCAAATCATAAGCATCAGATTCCTTCGTACTTGAGTAAACAAGGCATCACCTTATCTCCAGCATATCGTAATCATCCGCGCTCGTGGACTTCGATTTTGAAACAGGCTCATGCCTGTAATTTGAAGATCCATGTCCCGACTCTTCTCGATGATCGCGAAATAACGGCCTGTATTGTGTGAGAAATTAGTAATGACTTGTGATAGAACTAATGTGCTCACCTGTCAGGTGTTGTGCGAGTTTTGCGCGATTCGCGTGATCGCGAGCGGCTATGACGTCTATAATCGCGATCTCTGCTGCGACTTCTAGAGTAGCGCGATCTCCGTTGTCGATCGCGTGAACGAGAACGGGAACGAGAACGATGCCTGGATCGACTCGATGATCTCGAACGTGAACTGAATACACTAGTACATTGAAACAGCGAAACTGATGAGATGTGCGGTAGAATGGTGAAACATATACCGCCTTCTGTCACGCGTTCTGCTCCTGCTCCGACTCCTACTTCTGCTTCCACTTCTTGATCTGCTCCTGCTCCTACTTCTACTCCTGCGCTCGGCGCTTCGCCCGGCCAACAGAAGCTGGTCGGGACTTTCTGATCGCTTCGTAAGGTCGCTGCAAGCATCAAGACTCGGCGTGATCGACATTCGTTGCTTTTGCCAGCAGAACCTGGGAAACTTACAACATTCGACGATACTCTTTGGTAGGCAACTGTGGACCAACAACACCAGTGACCACCGGCTTTTCTTCCTCTTCTTCTTCATCTGAAAAACGTCTGATAGCGCATAAAAATGGATGTTACCCAAAAATACTAACAAGGGAACCGTGTCGGGTCGAAGTGGCCTTTCCAGATGAGACCCATACTGCTTTGAAGAGCATTAATCGGTGATTCCAAATCTGCTTTCCAAATCTGCCAAGCGCCTCTGGACGCCAAGTTATGACCAGGCTTGAGCGTGGGGTCAGGCGCGCCCAACCTGGGGGGTCGTACTGGGGTAAGACAGAGGGGGGGGGGGTCGTGATTAGGAATCGAATTCGTTCGATTGAGGAGATACTACGATTAAGGTGAAGAAGAAAAGCGCTAGTTTAGTGGATATCGCGACCTCACCAGTACTGAAGGAAAGAACGGTCTTAAACAGCATACTGATTGATTCCACAATCGAAGTTTCGGCAAGACTCAAATCTTCATCTTCTACCTTGACATATTATAAATCATCAAGGAAGCTTGCTGTGTGAAATGGGTATCATTTCCGAGCACGTCAAATTACTTCTATGAGCCCTACAAACCATTATTTACTGCATTATCTAGTGTTCCTCAACGACTAAAAAGCGTGATTTTCAAACATGATTAACTTGTTTTCAAAAGTGAGAAAAGTCAATTTTTTTTGTACTCGTAACAAAGTATTGTTCCCTACTAGTCTAGGCTAAAAATCGCGCTTTGTATCGCTTGCAAATAGTGGAGTAAGAAATAATGCCAAAATTCCGACCGGCGCGTTTTTCTCCATGACTGCTTCAACTCCACGGATTACCACAAGGCCGAAACAAGTCGAATCAAGTCCAAACACTTACTATGGAATCTTCGAGGGTTGTGCTAGCGATTCACATAAAACTTGAATAAAAAAGCTTCTGGCGCTATTCCACATAAGTTGACCCAAAAAATGAAGATCGTGAATTTCGCTAAAACTTCGTCTAGGGAGGTTATTTGGTACGCTGAGCACGAATATGATGTTTATTTCGTGCGACAGTGCCATCCGGTGGAGTTACGGTAGGATTACGGTAGGGGGTCAAAATCACGGATTTGCCCGAAACTTGGCCTAGAGGGGTTATTCGGCCCGCTGACGCCGAATATCACATTGGTTTCGTACTGTAGTGTCATCTTCTCGAGTTACGGTGGGTATACGGTAGGGGGGTCAAAATCTCGAAATTCGCTGCAACTTTGCACAGAGGGGTTATTCGACATGCTGATTAGAAATGTCACACTTTTTCCGCACGAAAACGTCTCCCTGTATGGTTACAGTAGGTTTACGGTAGGGGTCAAAATCACAAATCGGCAAATGTATCTTTCCCCTGTGCTTTGCTCAGGCAAAAGCCGCAGCAGAGTGTGTAGCGCGCGGCGGTGGTCATCTGTGCAAAGCTTCACGATCATCCAAATCGCCACACACCCTTTTCGGGATGAAATATGTTTTACACCCGTCACCGTGTATCTACCGTAACCCGATAAAATGACGCTACGGTTCAAAACCAATGTGATATTTGGCATCAGCGGGTCGAATAACCCCTCTGGGCCAAATTTCGGGCAAATCCGTGATTTTGACCCCCTACCGTAATCCTACCGTAACTCCACCGGATGGCGCTGTCGCACGAAATAAACATCATATTCGTGTTCAGCGTACCAAATAACCCCCCTAGACGAAGTTTTAGCGAGATTCACGATTTTCATTTTTTGGGTCAACTTATGTGGAATAGTACCAAGCTTCTTCAATGATAAAGTTAATCGGGTCAGGCGCAACCCCATAAAAGGTCAGGCCGCCTGAGCTTTTGAGGGGTTGCGCCTGACCCGATTAACTTGTTTTCAAAATCTAAAAATCGCTCCATTTCTGCTATGAGTATTGAACTCAAAGCCTCTTCTTGCAATACTGCAAATTTGGAGCCAAACAATACACCCCTGTGGGAATTATAGCCCTAAAAGTAGGGCTATCCAAAATCCAAAATTGCCGTCAAGTTGCGTGTGCTGTGCAATCGCAGAAAGTCGACCTACACCTCCAAAAAACAAGAACCTCCCAAAAACGGCTGATCTCTTCGAATTATCACAGCCTGAGGTCCTGGAGGTGAAGCAGAGGGGTCGTTTAGGGGCTTTCACTGGGGGGGGGTCGTTTTGGAAAGACTTGTGCCTGACCTCTTGCTCAACCCTGGTTATGACCGTTCTTCGGAGCGAAAAATGAATGCAGTTTAGGTAAAATTGATAGTTACAATCTTTCCAGCGCTCAGACAAAGCAATATTAAGTATTAGCATATAAAATAAAATGTATTCATTGCATAAACAGCTCTGATACTCGACATTGGACCATTTGAGCAAATTTGGGCGATTTTGCTTCAGTTTTTGCGTTCAATTTTGTGACCCGACAAACGAGCATAACTCGGCGTCCAGAGGCGCTTGGCAGATTTGGAAAGCAGATTTGGAATCACCGATTAATGCTCTTCAAAGCAGTATGGGTCTCATCTGGAAAGGCCACTTCGACCCGACACGGTTCCCTTGTAAGTTCAGTTTTTTGGATGACGATTATTCTGGGTGCAGTGAAAGTCAAGCACATTTTCAACTGCGATATATGACACGTTAGACAAACAATTACTTCCATCAATAACATGTCTATACTACCAAGATAGCAGCATCTGCCTACAATCGATTTCGAAACAGAAACTTTCCTTGCTGCCTTTTTTGCGTAGTCTTCGATATCTCGAATGTAAGATTTCAATACATAGCCCCCACTGGGGCACACGCCATAATCCGCTTGACCCACTTCGCTATTGGTCATAGCGAAATGATCAACATCGAAGTAGATCAAGATCATGTGGACAATGCCTCGCTATTGGTCAATCCACTGATTTGACCAATAACAAAGCGGATGAGTAGATCAAGTATGGCGTATGTCTGGCTGCGATTTTTCGCATACATTGTTGTACAGATTTTCAGGATCAAGTCCCACGGAAATGAAGCATAACGGCGTGTGGGTTCGCCTGCATATTTGTTAGTCAAAAAGAGGTGAAGCAACAGCGACCAATGCATGAACTGATTTCTGTTCTAATGCCCAACTTGACCATACGAACTGAAAGATACCTTTTCCATCGTCGCCTCCAAACGTAGTTATGAACTGCGGTCGAGCATCGTCTTCGGACTCACTTGACGAACTCGATTCAATTATAGCCTTCTTTTGAGCAGCAGCACTTTCAACAAAACTATAAAATCACGAAATAATCGTTGAACTTCACTTCGATTACTGAATGTAAACATGACATGAGAATGCAAAGCCAGGTTTACCTCAGCAGCGAAACCGTAGCTTCATCAGGACAACCTTTGCCGACTATGAGGGCACGTTGCTTTTTCAACAACAAACGTTCGTGCTTCGAATCGCGACCCTGAAAGCTTTTTCTTAGCAAATAGGGACTGAAATATTGTGGTTGGTCTGCATACGCACAAGTAAGGATTGCAAATCTTCTTCAAATAGAATGACAAATTATGATTTAAAATGTCCATCACAATTTTTCACAAGTGTTTACTTATTTTCTTGGAATTTAATACTCTAACGGCCAATTACAGGGTTGCAAACGGACAGCGAGTGCTGCTTTCTCTCTGTCGATTCGTCGCAGCTCGGCGTTTTCAGCGCGCGTGATAGCATCAGCTCGCAGTAGGCCTGCAAAGCTCCCACGGCGGATACCATAAGCTTCTCCTATGCAATTCACACGTCGCTGTGATTCTGCATCTGCACCGCGTAGGTCGAGATCAACATCTTCAAAAAGAACTCATCAAGTGTAAATGCGATCAAGTCTGCCGAAACTCACCGATATCTTCAGGCTCCTCGATATCAGCATCATCGTCACTCTCAACTTCTTCACTTTCTTTTTTAACCACTATTGAGTTTTCGTAATTGAACCCGATAGATGCTTTTGTCTCCGCAGATTTCCTAAAATTTACGAATTTATTGACACTCCTGAGCTTTAGTGATAAACCCACTTTTTCTTTTCTTGCTCAGTTTTTAACTGGTCATCCTTAGGAATACGCCAAAACTCTTTTTCTGCAATCTTGCGGAGATACTCCTGAAGATAACTTGCGCTAATAAATCTCTCTTAATTTGTAAAGAAGCGATGTGCTGATCCACAGACCGCACGGACTAGTCGTAGATTGCGGAGCACACGCCCACCGCAAACGCTTGTACCGGTATCACAATGGTACAATTTTCTCTTATGACATTTCAACCGCTCCGCGTATGCTCCGCAATCTACGGCCAGTGCGTGCAGTCGATGACTCGACGATAATCAGTGATGTGATACGAGACATTTTTAAAATGCATTGCTAAGCAAAGCTAAATAGTAAACACCAAGGATGAGGCTCATGATATATCCACACAATATAAATGCTTACAGCACCTTTTCGGAGATATCACGAAAATCGTTGATTACCAAAATGCGATACCGTTCAAAATCGCACACTATTTCCTGCTTTTCATCCTCACTGGAACAAATGTGATTGATTTCACGATTGAAACTAACTAAACTCTAACCTATCGGGTTCAACGCCCTTCTTCTTCACAGGTGTGATGAAGTCAAGATGAGAACGTACATCGAAACGATCAATCAAGATAGCGGGATCTCCTTGCCATCTCCTCCTAGATACAGTAATCAATAGTTATTAATTCATATGAAATCCACCTATCAAATTTGTGACTTACAAAATATTGCTATCTTCTGCAGCTCGAGCTATGCTTTTGTCTGTATGTATTGTACACTTTCGTCCATGGATCTGCATGAACTGATCAGGGTCTTTCCTCTGAAGCAAGAAAGTCAATATGAATCGACTAATTTATTTGCGTATGTGACTAAAACACTGATCATACAACAAAGTGCCTCAAATTCTGCAATAGTCCTGCGCTGGATTGGTGACAATCAAGATTGGCAAAAACCAACATTTGTATTGTAACTACGCTCACCACACTATCATAGAATCTTCGTCGTTTCTCGGCTCTTTTAGAGCAGTCGACAATGCGCGCTCGCATTAACTTTTCTTGACGACGTGCTTCATGCCACATCTTCACTGTAAAGATGGCAACAAATAAAACAGTATAAAAAACATGAATTGAAACCATAGTGCGATCAGAGATAGATTTGCAATAAACAGTGGTAAAGAAAGCAATCTAAGGAAAATAAAGTTTTATAGGTACGGTGTCAATACAGACAAAAGTAGAGGTTTACAAATGGAGATCATCCGATATCAATATCACCCGAAAAATTCTTTAGATCGTCTGTCCAATATACCATGCGCTCTAGCAAGCAAAGTTTCTTGTCGAATCAAAGCATCATCAAGACCTTTCAGTTCCTGAAATACCCAACTCAGGCGAAAAAATAGCCAAAAAAAAAGCCGGAGACTCACGTCTTCGTAAACCTCTTCAGGATGGTCAAGCTGCCACTGCAAATCGATCTTTGTAAACTCGGAACAAACATCCAAACAGGAATCCCGAAACTGAAAGCAGGAGTGCATATAAACACAATGAGAGAAGAATGATTTTGAAAAAAATAAAGATGATCTTCTATAGGTATAGCACGCATGCCTCGATATACAAACAAAACTCTCAAGCGTAAAGACTTCTATTTTTTTGCGTACAGTAGGAGAGAATACGTCCAGCAAGATTAATGCACTACTAATACTAAGTATTGCTAGCGTCTTGAGTGTAACTGTAAACCTGAGCCAAAGCCACTTTCTGAGTTGTGCTCTCGATACTCGCGTATGAAGCGCTTGCGCCACATTCGCGGGCGCCACTATCCCAGTCTTTGGTTAATTACGCCCGTCTAAAACTCGGAACCAAAACTTCCAAAAAATTTTCTCCGCATTTTTTCCCTCAGGTAATGACTCTACTGCTAAAATTATAAGTTGTATGTGCTGTACTGCTGCACGTATACTGCAGACGTGGTTTGAAATTTCGCTAGATGCGTAGGTACAAGGGAAGAAAACTCATCATAACCAAACATCACCTTCTCTTCGCCCTCATCTACCTCTACGCTTCAGCTGCCCAAGCGATCGCAAATTAGATTACCAGTAACTCGGAAATACAGGATACGAATACTGTTTCAGAAGTTACCAGTTGACTGATGGTAACGAACTCACATGATACATTGATATCTCAACGACTTCTTTTACATGGTCAATTGTCGACGGAGCAGGCACCGGGGGGTGCGATGAAACATTCGATAATAACTGAGCCCATCGAACAAGTAACGAGTCAATGGCATCGCCAAGAGGTGTTTTTTCCAGCTCTTTGTCCTCGAATATCAAATTAGCGGGTTCTTCTTTCGTTGCTGGAAATAAATGCAAACTAATTACCAAGTTGTTACAAAGAAGACAAATCAACAATGTTGGCACTAACTTTTTGTTGCATCCGAAGGCGATGACATAGGAGAATCGTCTCCTAACACCAACTGCTTCAATTGTGACATCGCTGGTGATCCCTTATCTAAAAGGTAAGCGTTGGTACGTATTGTTTCAACCTAGCCATGTATTCTAATGATTTCTAAGTCGAAACTGCCAAGACACGATAACATGAAAAAAAGCATGGAACAAAGTGGCCTACCTTCCATTTACGGATCTGTGAATTTGTGATTCGTTTGATTCAACTTTCGTAACGAAAAACGAACATGAAAAAGGAGGTTTCACATAACGTGACACTATTGCGAAGGAGATACGTGATGTGGAACGAAGGCACTGGCTGATGGCATGTGAACCGGACACCTGTTCGAACCATATAAAAAACTACAGGGCAACAAAGTGCGTACTTGAGAACTGGGAATCAAATAATCTTAGAAATGTGACAGATTACGCAAATTAAAAACGGAGATACTTTATGGGTACTGACGCGCAATCGTTAAGAAGAAACCAGGGATCTTCAATAAATTAACTTTTCTTCTGGACGACTGCCACAAGTTTCTTATGAGGCATGAGTACCGACTGTAGAGCGCACGAAGAGGAAAGCAAACGACAACCACGATGTGCTCCAGTGCGAATATGCTAGAAGCTGTCAATAATTCACGTTCCCACTGTGTTGGACATATTCACCCGCATACCTCAGCAATATATCAATGGATGCCACGTTAATTTTTCGGAATGCGTGGCGTTATATGCCTCACGAAAAATCTTCTACTTATTTTTTCATAAATCCTAAGAAACTACGACGTGAAGCTAATTTGATTTTTTTTAATTTTCAAAAATTGTTCTAATTACTCAAAAGCAAACAAGTCACCATAATTTCTTGACTCATGTGAGATAGGTTTCGGAGATTTCGCGACCAACTGCCTTTCTGAAGGTAAGCAAGTATCTGTCGAAATCTGTACACAGTTCAGCAGTTCACCAGCGCGCTAGAGTATAGGTATCATCTGCTATGAGACTGAGAGACTTACTTGAACTCTTTGCATCCAAACAAGCCTGTCCCTCAATTATTCCAAGAAGTTAATAACAGAATGCCGCAAAACTAACTCGTCGACATGACCAAGCTTGTTTCGACAGTGTATGCAAATCGTTATAGAGTCTCCTGGTTCGCGAACAAATGACAATTTATCAACCGCACGGACTGGCCGCGTTTGTAGCGAGAGCGACATGCAGCCAAAACATTGCAAGAGCACGCTTTAGGTAGGCGCCAAAGGTATAGTCCCCTCCACAGATCGTGCTACCCTTGGTCTGCGTCTCAGACCTGCCACGTGTGGCTAACACATTGGCAACGTTGGCAGCAACACATTGGCAACATGCCCCAACATGTAGGCAGAACATTTTGGCCACGCATGTTGCTTCATGTTGCCAACGTGTTGCTACCAACGTTGCCAATGTGTTAGTCACACGTGGCACGTCCGCGACGCCACAAGGGTAACACGATCTGTGGAGGGGACGATAGGTGCCAGAATAAGGCCCCCGCCAGAGTGCCGAAGCCATGCCAGCGCTACGCCAGCGCCGAGCCAGCGTTTCGACCGATACGCGTGTATTTCGTTGGGGCGGGGCTAGCTGACTAGTTCTCGGCAGGTAGATGTCTCCAACGAAATACACGTGTATCGATCGAAACGCTGGCTCGGCGCTGGCGTAGCGCTGGCATGGCTTCGGCACTCTGGCGGGGGCCTAAGCGAATATTTTGCTCAGGTAGGTGCCAGAGTAAGCGGATCTTTTGTTCAGCTTCGTTCAGCTGCAAGAGGCGCACAGAATTAACGTTGATTCTGCGTGCAGCTGAAGCAGGCCTTGGAAGCAGTAGAGATTATACAGCAGACATTAATTCTGCGCGCCTTCTGCAGCTGAACGAAGCTGAACAAAATATTCGCTTACTCTGGCACCTACCAAACCAACCAAACGTCCTGCTTCAGCAGTACGCGGCGCAACTAGTAAACCGATGTCATTCGGCGTCACGTTGGATAAAAGTCGTAATGGCGTCTGCGATGTTCGCAGCAACAGTAGTTTTGGAGAGATGGTAAAAAAAATCGCAGTATGGGCGAATGATAGAAAGGCTTTACCACCAAAAAAATGTTTGTTGCATCGCATACACAGGCCTGACCTTACTCCAACGTGACACGCCGCATCCTACTGAAGCAGGACGATCGGTTAGTCTGGCGCCTACTTTATGGTCATAGGCTGCCGATCGTTATCCCATAGTACTCCCTGTCTGTCGTGCACTCTCTAACAACGACCGGCAACCTCGGCAACCTTACTATGGCATGCACCATACTAGACCTGCTTGATCCACTTAAAGGCAGTGGCTCGGGAAAATTGCGCCATCGCGATACAGTTTGCCGCCAAAATAGGTGGAGTTACAGTCTCCAGCAGCTAGTTGCTCCTTTTGGGGTAAATCCCTCGCCCCGCCTCTCCACCAATCTTCAAAGCTCGGAAACGCCAAAAAAGCACTTTTTTGACCCTTTCAAGCGCAGTACCGGACTCAGCTGGTCCAGAAGGCCATGTAGTCGTAAAAGGCCCGCAGTCGCAGTTTTCCCTAACCACTGTCTTTAATCCGCTTCGTCATTGCTCAATTCAGCGAACTGACCAATAGCGAAACGGTTGTACACTTGATCCACTTCATCCGCTTCTACTGGTCAGTTCACTGCATTGACCAATGACGAAGCGGATCAAGCGGATCAATGGTGCATGTCTACGGCGATTTGTATTGGGACAAGCGTTCCGCAGCACGTCATATGCTCCGCAATCACGAGCAGTTCATAATTGACGAATTGCCTCTACCATTTGAATTCAACTGGCTTGGCGGCTGGAAGCAGAGGTGCGATAGGTGGAGCCGGGCCCCCCAAAAGTAAAGGTGGTTCCAGCTACCAATGGCCAGCCAAAGTGAAGGTGGTAGTGCCGAACACTCACCTCCCAAAAACGTCGACCGGGGGGAGCGTTAACGTCGACTGTGCCTATCCTTCTAGGTCGCTGCCGCCACTCGCGGAAAATAAGCAAATCAAGATTATTGAAAGCCTATATTTATGTATACGGCGGCATATATGTATATTTAAAATAAACGTGTTTGGTAGATGGTGTGTTTTGAAGTGAAAGCCAGCGAGACATCACAGATTTTATCAATCAATGTTGTAACGTACTGCGAGGGAGGTAGGTCGATCCAGGCAGTAACCGCCGAGAACCAGAATTTCGAATGATAAAATGATGAAAAATAGTGAAAAATCATTCCACTGTTACAAATCTGCTGGCTGAAGACCTCCGCAGTTGCGACTTCATAGGTTTTGAAGGGTAAGTGTTGTTCTACAGACAGTGAAAGAATCAGTTTGATTTGAGGAGTGGCCGCCGAGAACGAGAATTTTGAAAAACCTTAAAAATCTTCTCAATTTTAGGTTGCTTGATCAACTGACATTTAAACTCTTATAAATCCGGACTTTGAAGGTGTGTGATGTTGCGACTTCATAGATTTTGTAGGGTGAGGTTTGCCCTATCAGAATATGTCTTAGCTGTACCGATCCATTAAAACATCGCCGAGATCCAGGCTCTTAAAAAAAGAGGTAAAAAACCGTTTTTCAGCTCATAACTTCTTCAGAATTGCATAATTCATGTTGCGACTTCATAGGTTGGATTCTCCTCATCAAGAGCTTTCAAATGATATATAATATGTGGAGGATTCACGCCTCCCACGGCATATGCCGGGGGGTGGCCTCTCTTCACTAATTCTCCACTGGCGACCTCCCGCCAATACATTGAAATGGGCGGGGTGGAGAATTAGTGAAGAGGAATACTCCACCCCGGGTTAGAGCCGCAAGAAACATTGAATCCCCCACATATTATATATCATCTGAAAGCTCTTGAAGAGAATCTAACCTATGAAGTCGCAACATGATTCATGCAGTCCCGAAGAAGTAATGAACTGAAAAACGGTTTTCCACCCGCTTTTTTAAGAGCCTGGATCTCGGCGATGTTTCAATAGATCGGTACAGCTAAGACATATTCTGATAGGGCAAATTTCACCCTACAAAACCTATGAAGTCGCAACATCACACACCGTCAAAGTCCGGATTTATAAGAGTTTAAATGTCAGTTGTCATTAAGCAACCTAAAATTGAGAATTTTTAAGGTACTTCAAAACTCTCGCTCTCGGTGGCCACTCCTCAAATCAAACTGATTCTTTCACTGTCTGGTAGAACAACACTTACCCTTCAAAACCTATGAAGTCGCAACTGCGGAGGTCTTCAGCCAGCAGATTTGTAACAGTGGAATGATTTTTCACGATTTTTCATTATTTTATCATTCGAAATTCTGGTTCTCGGCGGTTACTGCCTGGATCGACCTACTGCATAGATACATGCTCTTAATACTTTCTTTTACATTCCTTTTGCTTACTTTCCTTCTTTTGAGCTTTAGCAAAAAAAAATTTCAAACCCAAAAGTGAAGGTGGTCACCCTGTACCAGCTCAAAAGTGAAGATAGGCGGAGAATCGGCTCCGACTATCGCACCTCTGGCTGGAAGGCGGCGCTTCGTGACCTAACTAAAGCTGGGTAATGATCAGGGTTGAGCATGGGGTCAGGCGCGCCCGACCTGGGGGATCGTATTGAGGGTAAGACTGAGGGGGGGGGGGGTCGTAATTAAGAATCGAATTTGTTAAGTTGAGGAGATACTGCGAAGGTGAAGAAGAAATGCGCTAGTCCGGTGGATATCGCGATCACATGAAGGAATGACGGTCTAAACAGCATACTGATTGTTTCCACAAAAGTTTCAGCCAAGATTCAAACCCTCATCTCTTTTACCTTGATATATGGGGTCGACAAGGAAGCTTGCTATGTGAAATGGGTATCTTTCCATAATCAGCATGTCAAATTACCTCTATGCGCTCTATAAATCATTACCTACTGCAGTTTCTAGTGTTTCGCAACGTCTAAAAAGCGTGATTTTCAAACGTGATCAACTTGGTTTCAGAAGTGAGAAAAGTCAGCTTTTGTATACTCATAACAAAGTAATGTTCTCTACGAGTCTATGCTACAAACTGAGCTTCATATCGCTTTCAAACAGTGAAGTAAGAAGTGCTGCCAAAATTCCAACCGGCGCGTTTTTCACGTTGAGTGCTTCAACTCCTCGGATTAGCACAAAGCCGAAACAAGTCGAACCAAGCTCAAACACTTACTGTGGAATCTTCGAGGGTTGAGCTAGCGAATCACATAAAACTTGGGTAGAAAAGCTTTTTCGGAAATAAAGTTAATGGGGTCAGGCGCAACCCCTCGAAAGGTCAGGCCGCCTGAGCTTTTGAGGGGTTGCGCCTGACCTTCTTAACTTGCCTTCGAAATTCAAAAATCTCCCGTTTTTTGATATGAGTATTGAGCGCAAAGGCTCTTCTTGCTATATTGAAAATTTGAAGCCAAGCACTCCACCCCTGTGAAAATCATAGCTTTGAAAAGAGGACTATCCAGATTTAAAACTTGCCGTCAAGTTGCGTGTGGCAATCGCAGAAAGTCGGGCCTACAGACGTTTAAAAAATAGAAACCTGCAGTGAAGGCTGGTCTTCTTCAAGGTATACCTGAGGACTTGGAGGTGAAGCGGAGGGCCGTTTAGGGGCTTTCACGGGGGGGGGGGGGTCTTTTTGAAGGACTTGTGCCTGACCTCTTGCTCAACCCTGGTAATGATCACCGAGTACACGCGCGCGAGAGACGCAGACATCGTCGCCGACGCAAGCGGACTTAACTACGTCACAAACCGCCTTCCAGAAGCCAAGCCAGTTGAATCAAAGGTTAATTCCTTGGTCTGCGGTGCGCGCGTCATCGCGGAGTTGCTACGACCAAAGCCTGGTCAAAACAGCTATACGTAAGCGACTCATCCAGACATTTTGTATTTATTGGAACGAGGTATGCCGTAGTGATACGTACACATCATCTTGCACAGTAATAAAATGACAATTTATTCAACTTTGCAAGCACCAATAGGCTAAAACACGAATGAACATTTACAAATTAGACTAGACTGTATAAATGCAAAGCCCGCCAAACCCCTTCATATTATGGAAAGTTCTAATTTTGATATTACTAAAGATCCTGTTATTTTTACTTCATGCAAGGAAGTAACAAGTTCTACTCTACGGTAATGTATATTCAAACTCAATTAGTGATACAAACAGAAAACTGGAACTAAACAGCGGAAACGTACAATAAGAAATCTAAAAAATCAAAACACAGGGTGTTACACATAAGAATCATGCCTGTATTCAAAGAGGTAGTCTTTGCACTGGGAATAATTTCAAAAAGAAGATGAAAATACGCTTCAGACGAGAAATCACAGCCCTACTATCAAGGAGGTCATTTCCTGCATGGCTTACGGATAGTTTTGAATTTGATCTAGTCAGCAGACGCATAGAAAGACTATGATTGCTTTGCAGAGGATTGTGATCGCATGAGAAGGCAGATGATGATATTGAGAAAAGCACTCGCCCAGAGATTCAGTAAAAACAGTCGCATGGTGGGTCAGCAATGGTCTATAGCCCATTGCTGAATGCATGGCCAGGGAAGGGTGGGCAGCACTTGCAAGCAAAGCAGGCGTGCACGCGGGCTCACGACCAGTGCTTACAAAGAAAGGATGGTTGGTCGAAGTGGCATTTTGAGATGAGTTGTATACCATGTTAGAGAACATAAAACGCTGATTCCAAATCTGTCTTCCTTATCTGCAGCGCGTTCCTGCACGAGAAGTTATGAGCGTTTATTGTAGAAAAAAATCGAGTGTGCAAATAATACAAAAACAGTAGTAACATTTTTCATAGCGCTTAAATTGACCAGTGACAACATTTCCAGCACTCTACCAAATAAATCCTCTTAGGTGAGATAAATCTGCATTCCGGCTGTCGCATGCAAGCGCTGGGAAAACTTTAGCAACTGTTTTTATCCCAAAAAAAAACAATCATTTTTTGCACCTTCAAAGGCTCATAACTCCTCGTCCAGGAATGCGCCGCAGATGAAGAAGACAGATTTGAAATCAACATTTTACGCCTTCCAACATGGTATACAAATCGTCGCAAAAGGCCACTTCGACTGACCCTCCTTCCCTTGTTAGGGGCACCGTCCACCTAAATTCTCGACTGCCACGTTTTTGTCCTTTGGGGCTTTCTCATGTCCCTGATTCCGAATATAATGTCGAGAGTTAGTGAGAATCCCATTCCGACAATCCCGTTCCGGATAATCGGCGAGGGAGGATTGTTGGAGGCGGGCATAGATGGGCGGGATCGGTGGAACGTCAACCGATTAAAGGCTCCTTTTTAGTCGTTCGAAGCGATTTTCTCGCTTCAGGCACGTTTTTCGATCGGATTTCAACTGTTGCGTCAATCAAAAGGCTGCTCTCAGACTGCGACAAGATCTCCACCACCTCGACTGAACCTGGACGTGCCTTCAAAGCTCACAAACACAATGGTAATGCTGCGCATTGCATTTGCACCTATAAACACACTTGAGACTATCACAGCTTAACTTGAGCTATCGGTTTGTTGGCCTTGCCGCGTTCGCAAAGCATCTTCCCAGCTTTCAAATCGTAGCTCCAGCTTGGGGAAGTTCCCGGACAAAACGGAATGCGACGCAAGGCCCGAACAACGCGGCCGCGTGAACCCAAGCCAGTGAAGCCTAATACTGTCACAATTATTGTCACAGCCCATGCACTTAGTGCGAGCATGTTAATAGCCTTCAAGACATATAGATAGCTAAGTGTTACTCTAACTGGTGAAACTACCGCGCGCCAGCGTCGCTATCTAGGCGCAGTTGTTAGCCATTGCCTTCACCTTTCGCTTTCTCTCCGCAAACCACCTGTCCCAGTTGCGACAAAAGTCTCTGATCTACAACTCTAACACATTATGCAACACGGTCAACTGTTTTTCTGCTCATTGTCCCTCAAATGCCAAATCGCTTGTGCATTTCCGTGTTGCATGACGTAGTCATCACAGTGAGGTTCCTGTGATGGTTTGCTAGCACCATCGTGAGCAGACAAGGAGAACCCGCTCCAACTACATACATCATATAAAAATAGAATATGAGAAACTCGACGCAGCATTTTGTCGAACTACATCTCATCCACGAAAAGATCAAATGCGCTGCTGTAATTTCTGACTCGAAACTGGTAATCCTCATGATTTGGAGGAGGAAGCACTTGTACGATTGCACATTCAGCGGAAGTATCTAAAAAAAAATCTGGAGGAAGCAGTGATTTGCTATTTTTGTAAAAACTATACCATTTTCAGCACCTTGACCAGCAGGATTGACGCGATAAGTACGACCAGAAGCTAAATGGAAGAACTTTTTGAGAATGAGGAAATTGTGGAACTTAACATACCTCCTTTAACCTCTTCTATCCGCCGCCTTCTCGAGGAAGCTACCGAATCATCCATTTCTTCTTCGACTATTGGCCCAGGATCATTCGAGTATAGATCTTGTTCCACCGGCTGAACCAAGACAAGAAGAGTGAGAGAGGCGAGAAACAAACACTTAATTACATGATAGCGGGATGAATCAACCACTGCTCTATAGACCCTAGGCCTTCCTTCTTCCTTGTTGGCAAATACAGCAGTGATAGGTCCACACGAACTTGACAAACGAAGCAGATACCGGTTATCGATGACGGCACCGAACTGAAAAAGATGAGTCACCACAAGTAGAAAAATGTGTAAGAAAGGCAGTTCAAAAACTTACCTTAGGCGGAAGTACCTCTACATTTGTTCCTGGAGGAGCCTGCACTGCAAAAGTATTTGATACTGGGAACACTTTGTGAAGATCGGATTGTGAGATGTATGCAAATCGTTGATTTTTCGATGATTCGCAAACATTGCGCATACTCTAAACAATTGAATATCACATGGTGACGCCTCCACCCTCAGGCTGCAAATCAAACACAGTACAAGGATTTCAACCCTTACCGCTCGCAAGAGGAAAACTCCAGTGGAGATAGTTGTAAAGAGAAACCTAACCTGCTGTAACCATTTGATATGCTCATCATATGCGTTCTCCTCTTCCCTGAGTTGTGCTAGTTCCTTTTTGAGGTTTTCTAGATGCGCAATAACTTCTGGATCATCATCTTTATCATCACCTTTCAACAAATCACCAGCTCTGAAAACGAGACCCTTTTACTGCTGTGAGCGTCTAGTAATAGAAGTTTTACACTTTCTCAAATTATCTATTAACTTAGGTTTCATTGATCATTTGTTTGTTGTTACATAGATTGACGCAGTAAAATGTCCCGCTGAAGAGTGACAAGGTGATGTAGATTTAACCGGATTCGCGACCGGGCTTTTTTTTTGAGTTCCGAGAGGATGGCGTAGAAACTGGATGGGTACGTGAAGATGGAAAGCTACTCCCCTTCGGGTCTCGAATATCCTACCAAAATTTTTCTAGAACTTTTCCTCTATATGACCTTTACGTTTGCGAATATGGCCCAGTGCCGGCGTAAGACACAAGAAAACGCCTCATTCGTCGCATGAGACGAAACTCCAGATGGACTCCTCCGTATGCAGCATGCGAAGTATTTTATAGTGCCTAGTGCTGGACATGACCATGGACTGACACGAGATGTATCCAGACAAGCTTATACTTCCAGAACTCACACAATCTGTGATAGCAATTTCGCACTTCAGGGCAACAATTTCAAAAACCCTGAAAAGTTTTTTTTTTAAATGATCGATCTAATACTCGCTACCTACATGTCACGGCATAGCCAAATTGAGTGTTTATTTCGACGCTCTGAAGGATATTTCTGTGTATTAAGGGACAATTTTTCCGCTAAATGGGCAGTAGGTGGTCCCAAATTTGGATGAAAGAATCTCCGGAATTACCGTCCACGATGACAAGAGTCATCATGGATTACAAATTTAGAGGCCTCTCCTCAATATCCCAAAAAATCCTGGCCGTGCGCAACGTCAAGAAGGTGGACAATAGCATCAACGTCTTTCCCTCTCGAAGCAAACTCCGCGTACCAGCCACAAGATGGACGACGTGTTCATGGAATGAATGGATCAGCTAAGAATATGATACGACTGCACGTGGATTTGCAGGCGCAGCCATAGACATTCAGCAAGATCGTTGATGTCAAAAGCGAGAGCACCTTTAGTCCGGCTGCTAGAGAATCACTGCCTTTCAATTTGGTCGCAGTCCCTGAGTAATAATACTTGCCTGTTCTTGTTAATTGTGCCAAGCTATTATTTGTGAGTGACTTCTCTGCTAGAGGAAGCTTGTGTGTCAGTTATCGATATACAAAGGACGCAAACCAAATCACAGTAGCACTCCATGACTGTCAAAATTCTATAGACCCCATGACTGTCAAAATTCTATACCATCCTTGAACGGTATCGAACATTCACACAATTAACCTAGGAACACATCCTTGTCTCTCTGGGAGCGTACATTTACTTCATTCAAAAAATCTTCGTGGTATAGTCTATCATTTTTATCACCTTTTTAATATCCGCGAGATGGACATTTGTGAAGGTCTACATACCCCTCGTCATCGCCTTCAATACAGCTAGAGGCAGCGTCCAGGCACCTGTTTCCAACACTGTACTTAGCAGACGACTTGCTCGACTTGCAGGGTTATGCGAGGCGACCCGAGTGGGCGGCGGGTTCACACGTAATGGCATTCAACTCGTGCAAATCGTCCGCCAAATACGGTAGCGGGGCTGAGTCGGGGGGGGGGGGGGGATCAGCCGAACTGCGCTGCTTAGGCAGTGTCTTACAAGGGGAGGATACGTGGTGACCGTGACCATTCATAAAGATTTGTGTATCAAAAAAAGCGCCTTTCAACGCAGGTTCGAATACTGTCTTCCATATCGGCGAAACGATAACCTGGATGGAATTATGATTATTTTTTCATGTTGTATTAGTGCATCTTTTGGCAGATTGTTTTCTATCATGAGTTATTGGCACTCAATAACGAATGCTAATTAGAGCGTGCTTCTTTTGGCCGTTTTCTTCATTCATGAGTTATTGCCAATCAATAACCGATCTAATTAGTGAAGCGCGACTGTCATACCCCGGGGACAGACGCCGATGAGAGATCGGAGTCTGAGAGATAGAGAGGGGCGTGGCCCAAAGGCTCTCTGGGGATCGATTTGGATCCAGTGGAGTGGGTGTGGCCACATATACCCAGGGGACAGACGCCGATGAGAGATCGGAGTCTGAGAGATAGAGAGGGGCGGAGCCCTAACTAAGGTGGTCCATGTCTACAATTTGAGCCTAGATTATTCAGTCTCATCTGTTGCACTCTCCAAGTTTGGTGGTGCTCTCGTCTAACTTCTTCTGTGTTCTATATTATTTCCTTGTGTCAAGTAATCTTTTGTAATAAAGATTATTTAGTCAGTAGTGTCTGTTGATCACATTTGAAATTGTCGTTGTTTCGACAAGTATCGCGAATTGCGAACTAAGCCATATTGAGAAACCGACTTGGGGGCCGAGCCGGTGATCAACTTACACGACTGATTCTTGTTGTTGCGGAATTCCAAAAAAATGGATTCATTCATGGAGCAACCCCAAACAAGCGGACACGCCACGCCAGCACCACACATCCCCACAAGCCAGGACAACTCGTTGAGTAACTGGAATTCACTGGAAGTGAATGATAGTCAAATCGATAGGATATTGACTTTTATGGGGGATTTTTTGGATAGCCAAATTAGGCATCTCTCACGCTCGAAGCGAGATCAGATAATGATTTCGATGCGCGAGAGATTGCAAGTTGACCTCGAAGGGAACTTGGGCCATAAAGGTAACTCGCACTCCACTCTTTGTGAAAAATTCCAAATGAGTGTTGAGGAATTGCTTGAGTATATACCTATGGCCAGTTCCCATAGCCAGATGGTAGTGAGGTTAGGGTCTAGGCTCGGGTGTGATTTTGATGACGTAGAGTCAGTGATCGAAGGCAAATTAAAGATTGTCACAGAGTTAGAGAATAGGCTAGAGGTCCTGCGCTCTGAAGTAAAGCTGGAAGCTTTAAGAAGCGCAAAGAGGGAAGAAGCCTTATTGGCACGGATAAAAAGGCATCAGGATCTAGGAGATTCCTTGCCTGGACCCTCTCAGCCAGAGCCTATGTTTATGGAGACTCCGACGGGACTCGATGTACGTCGTAGAGATGAGAGTTGGCGTGCTGTGCGTGAACAGTACAGGTCACTCAAAAAGCTAAGCGTTGAGGATAACCTACGCGATGCACCCCGATGTCACGCAAAGGGCGCTGAATGGCGTAAATGTCGACAGCGAATGTCGCGCTGTTCGTCAAGTACCTCTTTGAGAAGTTCTCCGCCAACGTCGACGATCGGTGAGTCCGTATCAGTCATGAGCGGTAACAATGGCAATGACCACACAGAGCGAGCTACTGCAGACATATTCAGTATGTTCAGAGAGGTATTTAAGGCACAGAGTGTTGCCAGTGTACCCAACTACACAGAGAAAAATTCCCTCAGCGACTTCCTACGAGCTTTGGAAGTGAAATTCCCGCCAACGGTGTGGCAGGATGCCGATCGTAGAGATATCTTGATCAATCATTTGGAAGGCACAGCCAAGGCGGTTTATAGAAGTTTAACGCGAAGTGTGCGGGAAGGTAGCTTCAAGGATTTAGTGGGAGCACTTGAGCTGGCACGCAAGAATCCCTGCGATCGCTTGAAGAATATCAGAGAATGGGACACGCTTTCGAAAAGAAGTGATGAGAGTGTGGTAGAGTTCTGCTGCCGTATGGAAGACCTCTCTAGGAGAATACATCCTAGCTGCGAATGGGACTTCATACGCGGATCCAAGCTGTATTCATGCTTGGAAAGCTGGCAGGATTCGTACCATATGCTTGCTGCGTTAGACGCACCGGAAGGAAAGGTGTATGAGGCAGTCAAGAAGGTTGCCAGGAGGCTAGAAAAGCTTCAAGAAGATGTGGCAACGCACACGAACCACTTTCATGATCGTACCAGCAAGTTGAGTGACTATCACAAGAAGGCCAGATGTGAGGGGGGCAGACCCTCAACCCGCAATAAGTGCTTCGAAAGTACAGATAAAGGCGCAGTGAGATGTTTCTCGTGTGGTGAGGTTGGCCACATAGCCTCAAAATGTGGTAGAACCATGAGTGGAAGCGGTGAAAGGTCTGATCAGCGTGGCAGCAATGCCGTAGGAGGGATAACCCCCGCTGATGATGTTGAGGGATGGTGCAGGACCGTCCGAGCCGATAGTGCTAAGGTAGATGCGAGCCCCAAGGAAGGCAGACCGTCATCGCAAAAGTGCATTAGCAACCCAAATAAAGGCCCACTGAGATGTTTCTCGTGCGGTGGGGTTGGCCACATAGCCTCTAAATGTAGGAGAAGAAGTACAAATGGGCCCTCATTGCAAAGAAAGTGCTTTAGAAATCCAAATAAAGGCCCACTGAGATGTTTCTCGTGTGGTAGGATTGGCCACATAGCTTCTAAATGTAGTAGAAAAAGTACAAATGGGTCGTTAGAGCGTTTCCAACAAGGGAACGAGAGAGGTGGAGAAGGTCAGCCTGGCGGAAATGCCGTAGGAGGGATCAACCTCGCTGATGATGTTGATGGATGGTGTATGACCGTTCGACTCACCCCTCCTAGTTTAGACCCACCTGCGGAAGCCATGGGAGAACTATGTATTTGCAGCGCAAATGTTCGCAAAAGATCAAGATTACGACGCAAGCCAGGATGTCATCGTAACGAAACAAGGACCGTGAATGTTCGAACAAATGCAGTTTGGAAGGACAATGTTTCAATGTTCGACCAGTCACCACAAGGATCATCCTGCAACTAGTTCCTGCTCTGAAGAATTCTCTAAGTGATTACATTGTTAGTGTTTTTCCTGTTAGTCGTCACCAAGTTCTTCTTTGTTTATAATCATTAGCCATTGCAACTGTATTGTTTCTATGTAGTACCTTTCTTTTTTTTGCTGGCGAACCTGGGAGTTCAGTGTTCAGTTTTTCCCCCCAAGTCGCAAAGATCGGAGTCACATGTTTTTTTTGCCAAAGAAAGTAATATTGCGGACGGCAATATGGTAAAAAAAAATTGCTGGAAGCATGTGAGAGTTCAGAGAAGCTGGGCTCAGTCTCATACAGTTTTTTTTTGTTTACGATACTTGAAAAG